TAGGAATGATATGGAGTAGTACTGAATGCTCTCTCTCTCTCTCTCTCTCTCTCTCTATATATATATATCTCTGTGGGTAGATTTAGGGATTTGAAAAGTGGGGTGCAGAAAAAGCCACCAGACCCACAGGGGTGGTTGTGGCCCACCCCACCTCTCCTTGGCAGAGACCATGCCAACAGTTGCCAAGAACTCCCTCCCCCTGACTCTGGGCTCCCCGCTTCCCCTCAGCACTCAGCAGCACCTCCCTTCACATTCTGTCCTCCCCTCTCCAGAAGGGGTTGCCCAGGGGTTTGCTTCTGGCCATAGGAATTGAGTACTACCCTGCTATCAGTGTTGTCCCCAACTGACCTCATGGCTGGAGGAGCCCCAGAGCTGCTTCTTCTCTGCTTCAGCCAAGTCTTCTGTGAGAAACAGTGAAGGCTGCCAGGATTGGCTTGAGACAGCAGGAGTGGGCAAGTGCTCCTACTCCCTGCCCATTTCTCCCAGGTGTCCCCTGCTAGTCAGGAGAAGCTGCTGGAAGGGGAACCACCCACAACACTGTCCCTTGTTGAGTTTGCCACCCCATGTAGCCACTTCCCTGCAGCTGGAGCTCCCAGGCCAATGGGGTATAAAATGCAGTGGAGGAAGAATGAGTCCTTATTCAGTTCAATAGCATTCCCACTGGGTTAATTCTACCTGCTAGATTATAGCTCTGATTCTAATTATAGCTCTTTGTTTCTATTTTAGAGGGATTTCATTTGAGCAAGAGACCAGAATCTGGCCCACTGCTTTAGATGGGTATTTTGCATGAGTAATGCAAAAAAACAAGAAACTGCCCAGTCTGACACCCAAGCATTTCCAAGCAATTTTACTTTATTAAATTACGTGACAACATTCAGGTTTGCAATATACAGAAGTCTAAATGTTTGTGTCCAAAAACTTGGATACTTGTCAGACTTGTATCCTCTAATTATTTTAAATGGCTCCTGCACATACCTCAAAAACTGGTTTTAATCTTTTTCTACCTGAAATAAATCCCATGACCCCCAAAAGACTCCTTCAAACTCTGATGAACCCATTCTGGCAATCTCTGTACTATCCCTAACACTGGTACCTGGTATACTCAGATGAAACAACCCATCATGTTTTTCTACATATACTGACAGAATATTTTAAACACTAAATTTCCTGATTTCCCCCTACTATGGTCCATTTTTTTATTTGGAGAAGCTATTGTATAGCAACTCCATTTGCTGTCTTATAGCCACAGAAGGTTTTTTTAGACAATTTAAGTCCAAGTTAGACATTCCAGCTCCTATTCTTTCTAATGCACTTCAGATAAACTACTCTGGCTATGGGCCAACTGCTTTGACTTCTGGCTGAAGAAACACACACAGCTGGGTGCTTATAAATTGGACAAAAAATAATTCTGCATATAGGTTAATGATTGTTCTACATCACCAACGTACGAAGTAGAGATCTCAAACCAGAACTCCTGCTGATTGGCATCTTTCTAATAAAAATAAAATTGTTCTTTGTCTCTGGACATCATATGAACTTTAATTCAAGGCTAAAGTAAAACAGTACTCCACTAATATGAAGTAAAGAGAAAAAAGTACACACAATTTGATCCACAATTACTGAAGCTTCTCTTTTCCTTATTACATTTAAATTTAAGTGAAGATTTTTTTTTTGCTAGTGACACCAGAATAATTTTCAACTACAAAAAACTTAAATACAGACATTGTACTCCCAGAAAATATTACTGCACTTACTTTATAGCAGTGTGGCTGTAAACATTAAATTATTCTAACTTACTCCACTAACTATTACTGTCCTGGCTCATTATTAAATAAAAAGAAGACAGTCAATACTTTTTACTGACTATTTCAAACCCAAACACTTGGAAACTGGAAGAAAGTTTACAGGACAAAATGGAATTGTAACGGGGGGCCTGTCCCCTTGAAAAGCAACAGTCAGCCCTGTTGAGAGAGCCCAGCTGCATGGCTTTTGGATAATGAGGGAATGTCCCACAGGGAGCTTAAAAGACCATGGAAGAGAGCAGCAAGGCAGCAAACCATGAGGGAACAGCTTGCAAGCAGGAGGCAAGCTGTGAGCAGAACAAGCTTGCTACTAAGAAGGGGCCAAGCTGTTGGGCTGGGATCAGAGCCAAAGGGCTCCCCCCGCCCCGTATCCACGGCAGTACATTTGATTGCTGCCCAAAACTGTGCCTTATTTGGGGGAAACTTCAGGGAGCAAAACCCACCTTCAGAAACAAGGCTCAAAGGAATACAGAAATGGCTTTCATAATGCTCAATACAAATTTTACCTGCACAATGTTACCGCCCGGGGAGGGAGCACTGATGAGTTGTTAGGCTGCTCACTGTTTTCCTCTAAGACTATGGGTACTAAGCACCCTTGACTCTCCCCATCCCCACCTTCCTCCTCTCTTACTCCCTCCCTCCTGCCTGCCTACCCTGCTCTCTTTTGGTTCCTGCTAGGGCATTAAGCGACTTCCCTTCACCCATTCCCTGTCAGACTGCACCTGCCCCAAGCTAAAGGATAACCAGAAAGCTAACCAGTTACCACTGCACTTATTGGTTACCAGTGTTTCTCAACCCATGGCTTGTGACCCAAAAGTGGGTCGCAAGAAGACATGAAAGGGTGGCAAACAAACTTTAAAAATGGATTCTCCTTTAAAGGAGAAAAATGTGGGAAACCATGTTTTTACCTTGCCAGTTCCAGCCTGCAAGGGGCTTCTTGGGGCCCCCCATTCCCCACACACACACCCCCTCTGCTCCACACACTGGGGGCTGTGGTCTAGGGGCAAGGGGTCGGGACCAGCCATCAATGTTTACAAATGGGTCCTGGTACAGAAAAGGTTGACAACCACCAGGTTAAACGATTACTTGTTTAAAAACTTTCAAATCCCTAGAGCAAACCAAAATAATTTCTGCTTAACAAATCCATGTTCATGAAACTACAGCCCTACCCAAAAGTAGTTTTAGCACTGAGATTCCCAGACTCATGTCTTAACCTGTTCTTTACTCTACCTTAGCCTGACTAATTTCTAGAAAAAAAAATCCCTTTCCTGATAAGACAAAATTGTTGCTTAAACAATTACTTGCCTTGTAAAAATGTATTTACTACTCTTCAAGAAAAGTACTACAACTAATTCAATCAATGTTATTAGGCTATTTTTCTCTCCCAAAGCCGTGCCCACAGGTACAGCATACATATTTATGGGATCATATTTCCCATAAATATTGTTCTAAATAAGAACAAAAAGCAAAGCAAACCACTAACTCAGCACTTGACTCATGGTACTTCATACTTCATAGTGGTTTTCCAAATATGTAGACAGATAATAAACGTATACATTATGCATCTGTTAAGATTGGACTCTATCCAGAACAAAACCAGAAAAAGCAAGGAAAGCGACACAGTTAAAGCATATAATCACATATACATCTTACTTTTCCTGTTAAACACAGATACCGACAATTACGAGATACCAAAGAGAATGGTATGGCACTGTGGCTGCTTACAGATGTTGTTGCGGGATCTCCAAAAACAAAACAGTGGTTTACTTTCAGCTCGGCACACGCTGCACCAAGCACAGCATGTGCCCAGAAGAGGTATTCCGCGAGTTCGACCCAGCTCACTTAGCATTTGTATAGTTCATACACTTCAATGGGACTTTTGGGGGCTTTTATCTAATAGCCGATTGAATCTAATAGCTGAAGCGCACAAGCTACACAGATACTGGGGAGCTACGTCAAACTGGTAAAGCACTACTTTTTTTCCTACCCCAAGTCTGTCAGCACCCTGTATCATTAGCTACTATAATCGCAAGTAAACTAGAAGTATCCCCCTACCAGCCTTTCTGCAGTTCTACAATTAAATTCAGTCATCCCTCAAGAAGTAGCAATTTATAATGTGGAATACTACTAGAAGCAGTTTTAAACCCCAAATGTTTTACTGCAATCACTTTAGCATTGCACATATAGAACAATATCAGTGTCCTTCCCTACCCCCCCCATGCCCTCCACCCCATTGATTTACAATATAACTGTATTCCAGATCTTTATTACAACTGCTATTTTCCAAAAATCTCCATCCCACTAAACCTGGATGATTTCTTCCTCCAATAAATGTATTTCCATTTTTTCAAGAAAAACAATCATTGTTCTTTCCTATCAAGGCTTCACCCCTTGATTTCTATTTCTCTTCATCTGCCAGGGTCTGCAACAATTCTTAAATTTCATCTCAGACTTCGGATCCATTGCTGCCAGCTGCTGAACAAGCAAGAAACCGTAGGCCATGCACAATCTCATTGAACTCAAAGACCTCAAGCATGAACTGGGGGTCTGCTTAGGTTGAACAGTACATAGGAATGAAGCTTTAGTCATTGACAACTTGGTTATCAAAAAAATTCTAGGTCATTAATGGAGATGTTAAATATACTTGGGTCTAATACTGATCCCTGCTGCAGCCAAATGGATGCCTCCCCATAATTCAATATGTTTTTTTTATCATTACCCTTTGCTTACAATACTTTTTCACTTCTGATATCAGAACTCAACTTAACTCAGCTTGCAAGCACGAATCTATGGCTTGCTCAATCGTAAATTCTACTTAGGTACACATATTACATATACCACATAATTTTCTTTTGAGTATTTTAGCAATTTTAGAAGCAAGAAGCCAAACTACATTCTCAATAAAGTTGCATCAACATAAGAGATTAAAGTTTGGCCTGATATTCATATTCCTTCATTTTCACTTACACATATATACCCCACATATGTAAATACCAGTACATTCTAGTTAGGCATGCCAAACAGCTAGAAACAAATGATTTTAAAGCTCTTTTGACTTCTTTAAAGAATTCTGCAGCCTTGATGTTTATACTCCAAAATACAAAATTTCACATGAAGCAACAAAGTTACCTCTATAAAACCAAAATCAAAAGTAAATGAATGTTAACTTTAAACTAATCACAATTAGTAAGATCTTACCTTCCTGTCTGTTGTTTTTTCTCTTTAACCATTTTTCCACTGTCTCAGCACTTACACTTTCTGACACAAATTCATCCAGTACCTGGGGGTGAAGAGAAAGATAGGCCTTCACTTTTTCATCTGTTAAACCTGCAAGAGAGAATATCAACCAATTACATTATTGTCATATTTCCTATATTGAGCAGCACTGAGATACTGCAGTCAGGATTACTGTTCCATTGTGCTGCATGTGGTACAAATAGAGATGTGGACATGGCTTCTGCCCTGAAGACTTCACAGTCTAACAGGAAGTAGCACAGAACTGATTTGGGGATGAGGGGAGGAAAACTGGAAATTAATCCATTAAGAAAAGATAGTCCCTTCACAAAAGATGCATGGAAGAACTCACAGCAACTGCTGGGAAGAAATGGACAGGCAGGAAGTTAAGCAATGATGGGGGACCAGCTAATAGAAGATAGGTGAGCAGCTCTGAAAGGAAATGAGGATCTAGCAGAGCAATTTCAGAGGCAGTGAGGGAAGGGAACAATGTCCTAAAACCAACAGGTCAACAAATTGCACTTGACAATAGAGTGGTGGCCTGAGAAGAAGCAGCCACAACAGATGGGACACAAGGGCTTATGATTAGGAACAGAAATTACGCATAGATCAGTGTAAGTGACTGGAAACACAACAGAGGTTCAGTGCACATAAGCTGCTTTCAAAATAGACAAAACCATTTAAAATAAACCTGGATGGATGTAGTCTCAGACTGAACTGATTTAATTTAAATTGGTTTACTGAACTTCTGTCCCAGATCCCCTCGTTAACTCACAGTCCCCCAGCATCCCAGGATGCTTTGCACCTCTCCTGCAACAACCCCCCCTCCCCCACTGGACAGGTTAAACTTGGCCCAAACTGTCTGCTACAGCCAAGCAGGGAGGTGTGCTCTAGCGCTCTGTGGCTTCTGGCCTGAGCCACTGCAGGCATGTAACTGCATTTCTGGAATCAAAGGTGAATGTCTGTTCACTTGCTTATTGGTTCAATCTACACAGTTTAGACTAACCTGTGAAGACTTAATCGATTCAGCCTCAGGATGTTTGACTGTCTGTACTTAGCCTAAATGTGTTGTATGGTGGTTTGATTCGTTTCTTTGCTTGTTTTTGTGCAAGAACAGAAAAAAGAGAGAGATTTCTGAAATGTCATGGAGGAACAAACAAGCTGTAGGCGGAGCCTGGGTATATGTGATAAGGGTGAATAAAAAAAGTCACAAAGACATCCCCTAGATCAGTGATGCTCAACCCACAGCCTGCAGATCAGATCTGTCCCCCCAAGAGACAGAATCAGGCTGCAGCATGGGAGATCATCAGCAAGCAGCTCAGCCCAACACCATCTCCCTCTACAAAGTAATGATCCCCATCTCCTTTCTTATCCTGATCTGACACTGATCATTGCTGCAACCCTCCCTGCTCTGTTCACTTTCTCTTTCTTTCCCCTCTCTCTCCATCCTCCTCTCCCTTACTGGAGAGGAGTGGTGGCAAATAGTGCAGCCAGGTTGCAGGCACCTGGCCTACCACTCCAAAAGCTTGAGCTCAACTGCCCTAGATTACGAATGTGAATAGCAGGATGCACAGTGACAATGCTGACAAATAAGACGGAAAGAGGGAAGAAAGGGTTTTGAATTTAAAAAGTCAGAAGTTCAGCTAAGGCCATTTTGAATTTATCTTAACAGTTAGATATCAAAGAGGATATAATCAATGAGAGAGAGAGATGGGATTGAACGGAGGGAGGCGATCAGGAGTTAACCTGCATCTCTTAGCACCAAACTCAGTCTCATCATTTAGTAAATAGCAATAGTAACACAATTAGGTAGGAACTTAAAAGGCTATAATTAGAGAAGTAATTTTAGAAGCAGATACAATATTCTAACAGGCTTACAGTATTTTAATAACTCATTTATCATGCTGAAATTATACTAAGCAATACTTATATTGCTTAGTATAATATATTATATTATATATAATTATACTTATATTATAAGTATATAATTATACTTATATAATATCTGAGACAACAGGAAAACAGCAGCGTGTATCTTAGAAAATGGAGAACTATCCAAAAGTACAAATCTCAAATTATCACTTGTGAAATTCCCAATTTCACAAAAATGACAAATCTGCTGTTACCATTCAAAAATCCATTTAAATACAACAACTATCTTCAAGGATGTGAAAGTGAACTGGGGCACATATTTTTCGAAAGGGACTCGGAAACAAGCGCAACTGCCACGAGGGAGTAAGATGCATGCATGTTTTCACAAACAGAAGGCATACTGAGTGTCAAAGTGTTAATTAGTTCTGATGGGAACAAAAGTAATAAAGTAACTCCTTAACTACCACTTCTCTCTTAGCATTGTGTGGACTTATACATATTTGTTTAAAACGCAGCTATGAATTTACAAGACTTGGCACTAGTAATGAAGCAGAAGCCTAGTGTTAGACCAACCCAAAAATCTCCCTAAAATAGACAGTGTTAAGGTCAATTGAGAATACTGATGGTGTACAACAACACTAATGCTTCTTTTCATATTTCATGCTTAATACAGTATTAGACTATAGAGAGCACTTTAGTTTTCATTTCTAAATTTAGTTCTTTTGTAACAAAATCTTTCAGTTTGTGTTTTAAAATATGAAAGAACAATATCCAAATAAAAAAGCAAAGATACTTGCTGCATAGCTTTAATATAAGTGTATACTGTCCTGTTTTTATGCTACTAGTATACTAGAATCATCTCGTCTCTTTCTCACATGCACAACCCCTACCCCCTCACCACTATTTCCAGCTCAGCAGACAAAAATACCAGTAAATCACCAGTACATCCAGCCCACACAGACCATCTCCCGTATTGACCAGTACTTGATGCATCAGGACATATTTCAAAAACATTATTTTTGTACTTGGAACAAACATTTCAAAACAGGTATTTTAAATAAGGCCCCAGGCAGATGTTATTTCCATCAGGGAACATTGCTTGATGGAAACTGTCACACCATGTGACCTGATTCATGTTCACAGGGCAAGGTATCCTAAGCGGGGGAAAGTGCCCTACGAAGTTGCTCTGCCACCACTAACCAGCAAGAGGAGCTGCAGAACTGCTAGCAGAAGCTGTCAGTCCCCTTCCCAGACTTTCAGCTTTGCTGCTAATAAACAAGCTCTGGGTTCCCCCTGAGCGGAAAAAGCCATCCCCTACCCGCTGCACAGAGCAGGGGAGACCCATGCAAAGGGTAGGGCGGGGGGGAAGGAACAGCAGCACTGAACTCTCCCAGAATACTTTCTAAGAGTGCTTTTTCTTCTGTCCTCATCTTGTCCCCACCAGCACCTTTCCAACCATATGCCCTCCCCCTTCCTCAGATTACTACTGTGGGTTAGTAAAGCATGTTACCTTGAGTGTCTGCTTATATTTTGGTTTGCACAGGGACAAGGTGCGAATGGCTCCTCAAAGAAGCAGCTCTGAAAGTTGGTTGGGGAAAGAGAGGAGGAGCAGAGTCATGACACCCTGGGGCAGCAAAATTCAGTACGAGTCATAGAAAGGACAGAAAAGAAAGCAGCATACTCTGGCAGATGCTGGAGGAACTGGCCAAACGCTAATCACCCTGTGTGTGACATGCCACATTCAAAATAAAGCGTGATCGAAACCAGCTACAAACATGTTCTACATTTTTAAAACAACATCTTTGTAACTGGTTGGCCATTTTTTTTTTTTTTTTTTTTTTTTGCAGCTGGCTGGCCATTTTTATTGCACGATGATTACTTTGTATGTGTAGCATTTCTTACCTTATTGGTGATTAACCAGTAAATTCCAAAATAAATACAATGGGTGTCAGGGGAACTAAAGCCTTTAAAAAGGCGGCCTAAGTTCCATTAGTGATAAATAGAGAGCAGTCTCATTTCAAGTCAATGGAAGAAGCAGATGATCAGCAACTCTGAAAGATCAGATTACTTCTTTGGGTCTCCAAATGTAGGGCTCCCTTTGTTAAATTTAGGCTACAATGCATCCATTCAGATGTACGTACTTTACATCAATGACAGATGCTTTTCTGACCAATTCAGAAAATCACCGCATGGCTTTAAGGATTACACTTGTTTACCTATATAATTTTTACTTGCCGATTAAAGAAATATACAATATTCTCAGATATGAAGTCCTGATATTCTGACTAGGACAATACAATTTTATTTTTAAAAGGTAACATTGTTTAAAGTTTTATAATGAATGATTTGGAAGATTTGGAGGACTGGTACAGCTAACCATGAGAAAGCTAACCTTAGCCAAAACCTTTTGATCTAAAAACCCGAATTCAGTACAGGCTGTCAAAAAACACCTGCTATTTTCCAGGTTTCAGGAAGCTATGCCCTTAAAATCCTAAAAGACCTTGTCTGAGTTTTAAGTGAAGGTTAGAATAGATACATGTTCATTAATGTGCTGTAATTATGGTGCATTAAGTTTAGTACCCAAAATGTCAGGTACTAATTTAATGTGCCATAATTGGTGCTACTGAGCAGTAGTGCAGATGAGCAGGTTTTTAGTGACACTAATGTGCACGCACTAGGCTAAATCTACTGCACATTAGCATGGGTTTTGCCCACCACGCTCACGTGGAGTAGAATTAAACTTCTGTACATTAAGCCTCTCATGTAGACGTGTCCATAGTCTTCTTACTTTACTTAAACTAGTGAAATAATTCTTATATTTATATCGTAACAGGCTGTTTAAAATATAAATTATGGCCCAATCTCACAAACCTTTCCTTATTTGCATAGAAAGTGCATCTTTCAGTGTCAGATCATCAAAAGATTAGTACAACAGAATTTACAATCCATAATTCCAGAACTAAAGTCACCAGATTTTTTTTTAAAACATGATAATTTAAAGTATTTGATACAGCCTCCCTCCAAATTTTGATCCTCTCTATCAGAAAATATTTTGGGAACATGTTTTAATCTATTAGATTTTAAACAGTTTCTTTAGGATGACTATAGAAGTATTTTCTTTTTCTGTACTTCTAGGCAAAAAAGATGTTTTAATACTGTTTTACCATAAAAATGTTTCATATCTGTGTTTTATTCTTATGAGGTAGATCAGCCTTGTGTCA